CTCTTGACTCTGTGCTCTGGATTCACAACTGACTGGCCTCAGAGCACCCTGGGGTGTGCTGGCCCCTGTTTGCGCCCTGGCAACTACAGTGACTTGGGCCCCCAGACTTGCTTTTCTCCTGTTTTGTCCTTCCTACTTTAGAGAGACTACCTGCTCGGTCATATAGTCTTACGTTCACATAATCTTGTGTGTGGATTTCTGGGTATGCGCTGATCCCAAGGAGAAAGAGCCAAGGATCTCTGCGGCCAGTAGAGATGTTGGGGTCAAGAAACTTCTACCTTATTTGAGCGGGATTTGGGGCGGTACAGTGCAGTGAGTTCCTACAGGCACACATACCATGCACTGATCTGAGTAGTTGTCTATATGGACTGTCGAGTTCTAAATCCTATTGGTCATGAGCTGTGGGGGTGCAGCGGTGAGCGTGCAGTGTTTTTTGCTACACCCAGGGAAAGTCTTTTGGATCGTACAAGTTTGTGTTCATGTGATCCTCTCTACAGTGCTCACTGGACCAGTGGTGCTCGAATTGGCCGGGTGGTTACCAGGAAAGGCAGATACATCCAAGAACCTTCTGTATAACGTCCTCCCACTTTAGCAGATCCAGTTGCCTTATGTGATTTTTGGGGCCCATCAGTCATGCGTGAGCATGGAGGCTGGTTCATTCGAAGTGGAGAGGCCCAGCGACAATATAGGACCCTGGGACCTGGCCTCAGAGTAGTGGGAATGAGGCTAAGTTAGACTCTGACTCCCACCCTCTTCGTATGCTGACTCAGGACGCAGTGACCTTCCATGATGTGGCTGTGAACTTCACCCCAGAGGAATGGTCATGCCTGGAGGCCTCTCAGCGGAAGCTCTACAGGGACGTGATGGTGGAGACCTACCAGAATCTGCAGGCTGTCGGTGAGAGCAGTGTGGAGCCAACCATGTCTGAACAGACCCGCGTTGGCTCCCTGGTGTTGGGCGGCAGCTGTGTGTCCAGCAGTAGCTCTGTGACGGGCGTGCAGTAGCTCTTCCCTCCCTCGTTTTTTTTTAGGGTTCACCTGTGGATACTCAGGGCTTACTCTCAGCTTTGTCTTCAGGAATTACTCTTGTGGGGTAGCCGGACCGTATGGGGTGATTCTGATCAACCGTTTTCGACTGTGTCCATGGGAAGATCCCTATCTGCCCAGTTATCACTCAGGTCCCTTTAAATACTTCCATCCATTGGTGCAACAATTTACTTTGTGTACTACACGAAATTTTGTGTGTTTAATTGGTTTTGCTGTTGCCTTTGTTTGGGGGACACAGTCCACAGTTCTCTTGGCTCTGTGCTAAAGGATGACTCCTAAGAGTGTTCAGAGGCCATATGGAACCGTATATTGAAACCTTTTGGCAAGTTAAACTGTCGGTGCCTCACCCCCCGTACTTTTGCACCAGTCACTCAAGTCAGACGGTTTTTGCATTTTCTTTTTTCCTTAGAGATTTGCGATTATTCCTGCCTTTGTATCCAAGACCATATGGGCTGCCTGGGATCAAACCCACATGTGTGTGCAGCGCTTCTGTCTTATTTGCTGTACTATCTCTTTCACACGACAGGGTATTTGATATCTCGTCTCTCAACTCGTTAGACGCTGCCCTATTTCAGTGCTTTGATTTACTTCTAATGGTTCTTGTGAGACTTCAGCAAGACTTAGGTTTTGCTTCTGGACTCTGCACTCAGGGATTGCTCCTGGCTGGCATGAGGGACCCTAGGAGATATCGGGTATTGCAACTGGATTGTCCGTGAGAAACTCCTGCTGTGCTCTCTTTCTGGATATATTTTTAGCTTAAAAAATAAGGGTCTCTTGTCACCCTTGGCCATTTCCAGATTTATTATGCACTTAGTTTTACGGAAATCGTGAAAAGTTCATGAGGGTCTCAGGAAACCCCATGTGCTGCTGGGCCTAGAGAGACAGTACAGGGAGGAAAGTGATTTTCTTGCAAGCGGTGCACGTGGGTTAAATTCCCAGCAACCCATGTCTTCCCCGAGCACCAGCAGCAGTGATTTCTGAATACAGAGTCAGGAGTCACCCCTGAGCATTGCCAGGTGAGACCCCAAACAAGACAAAAAACAAAAACATACTGTGCTAATCAACCCCCTGTCGACCATACACAAGGCCAGGTCTAGAGTATTTGTGATATTTTCTTGGGTCTTAACTCTCGAATAACTAGAAATATGTGGAATTTTGGAAATGGACATTCTGTTCATGCTTTTCAGATATATGCCCACTTATATCAGGAAAACATGGGCATTTACCTGTCACCTTTTCCCTGTGACTTATCCATGCCTCTGTCTCTGTTGGGGTAGGGCACACTGGAATGAAGCCTGCAGTGATCTTCTGGCTGGAAGGAGGAGCTCTGAGGTCGGGTAGGAGAGGCGTGTGTGCGGGTGAGTATCTGAGGACCCTTCCTGGCTCAGGCCCTGTGCAGTGTATGGGTGCCCTGAGCATGTGTGAAACATGCTGCTGAGGCCGGGACCTTGGTGTCCTGGATCCTTGGGCCTGTGCCGCACTCAAGCTGCTCTTCATTTCCATGGACTGTCAATCACAGAATGATCCTGTAATTTGCTTCCATGGCTTTCGAATAAATAACACCATAACAGAGATAGTTTGGATCTAAACGATAGTACAGCAGGGAGCGCCTTGCAGTGCCTGAATGTGACCTGTTCAATAATCTGTTTAATAACCTGGTTCCCCGAACATCACCAGGTCTGCTCAAAAACAAAAACATAACCTAGTGTAGAATTGCCAAGATCCTCACACTTTTCCATTATTCGAATCTTTTGTTTAGTGTGGGACTCTTTGGACTTTGAGAACCACAGAGATGTACTCTTAACTACATTGCATCATTTTGCTACATATTGTGACATGTGTGACATGTGTGCATTGCATGTTCTCTTCAGTTTCAGAACTGAAACCGCGACTTCAGGATTTGTCATTACAGCACTTTGATTTGGGAATGGGGTCAGCAAGTACGAGTGAGTTGGTAAGATTCACGAATACAGAATAAATATTATTATGCCAGCAGGAGTGGACCAAGTATGTGATTGTAAAGGTGGAAGGCTGGGATTGGCAGGGAGAAATTCCAAAACCTGATGCTTGGAGTAGAGGACTCTTAGCTTTGCTAGGTGCTGAAATCAAGCATGTATAAAAATACTGTGAGTTTTGATTGGCTTGACAGTGGTAGTTGTTTAGAAAGCTAATTTGTGCGCCCCAGAGATGGTGCAGTGAGAAATATACTTGTTTTGCATAGGGATGGATGGTCCTTACCCAGCACACCTTATAGACAGCATAAACCCACAGAACTGATCCTAGGCACTGCATGGTGTGCCCTTCCACCCACCCAACCACCAATAAATAGAAACAACAAAACAGAAAGAAAAAAAACTTCATTGATCCTGAAAGGCATCACTTGTGGTGAGAGCATTGCAATGGCCACGTGGTCTGCTTCAGCTGTGTTACGATGCAGTGTAGTCTTCACCACTGCATCACAGGTTCCACACGGAACTTTAACCAAACCGACATGTGGTTCTATTCATTTTCTCCTGAAATGGATGTGTCCGTTTTCTATAGAAGGAATTATTTCTAGTTGTATTCCTTCATTAATTTAAAAGGGGGAAAGTCACAGAATTTACTCTCTATCCATCAATGTTGTGCGTCCAACTTACGGTAACATGAAGTTATTCAATAGTAAGACAATTCATATGTCAGTAATTGCGTTTTTGCGGTGCATATGTGTGAAACTACATCTAAAGGGCTCAGTTTTTTGACAGGAAGACTCAGTGAATAAGTCAATAATTAGAATCCTCTGTTGTTCTACAGGAAAGCTGCCACCCCGAGTGGAATGTCTCTGATCCTGCACTGTATGATAATGTCTCGAGTGGTCAATCCTGCCCTCAGCGCCATGAGGACGACGAGACAGGCGGGATGTCTTCTGAGGGTGATCAGAATGGTGAGAGCTACCTCACTCTGAAGAAGCCCTCTCCTGGAAAAAGTTCCTTGGAGTGTGTTATTCTCAGTTCACAGACACAAAATTCCCCAATGGGCCACCTGCTAGGGAGAGAAGCACTGTTTATAGTGAGTCCCTCACAGCAACATACCCTCAACCACAGTCACCGTGAGCAGAACCCATATAGGTGTAAGGAATGTGGGGGAGCCTCCCCATGTTCTCAGCACTGTGGTGTTCCCTTAGAAAACCGCAGTCGACAGAATCCCCAGAAATGTCAGCCCCAAGAACAAAGTGTGACTCAAGGGTTACTCCATCATGACCACATGAATATAAATTCATGAGCGAAACCTTTTGCATGTGAAGCATGTGGGAAGGCCTTCGATCAATCATCACATCTTATTTTGCATAGGAGAATTCATACAGGATAGAAACCTCATGAATGTCAGACATGTGGGAAGGCCTTTATTCAGAACTCTAGTCTTAATGGACCTATGAAAACTCATAGTGCAGAGAAGCCTTCTATATGTCAGGAGTGTGCTAATGCCTTTACTCGATCCTCAGGCCTCAGTATACATAGAAGTATTCACACTGGAGAGAAACCGTATATATGTAAGGAATGTGGGAAGGCCTTTGCGAAAGCCTCAAATCTTATTGTACATAGGAGAATTCACACAGGAGAGAAACTGTATATATGTAAGGAATGTGGGAAGGCCTTTGCTCAATCCTCAAGCCTTGGTGTACATAGGAGAATTCACACTGGAGAGAAACCGTATATATGTAAGGAATGTGGAAAGGCCTTTGCTTTGGCCTCAAGACTTAGTGAACATTGGAAAATTCACACTGGAAAGAGACCCTATGTTTGTAAGGAATGTGGAAAGGCCTTTATTTTGGCCTCAAAACTTAGTGTACATAGGAGAATTTACACTGGAGAGAAACAGTATATATGTAAGGAATGTGGGAAGTCCTTTGCTGAATCCTCAAAGCTTAGTGTACATAGGAGAATTCACACTGGAGAGAAACCGTATATATGTAAGGAATGTGGGAAGTCCTTTGCTGAATCCTCAAAGCTTAGTGTACATAGGAGAATTCACACTGGAGAGAAACCGTATATATGTAAGGAATGTGGGAAGGCCTTTGCTGGAGCCTCAAAACTTACTGTACATAGGAGAATTCACACTGGAGAGAAACCGTATATATGTAAGGAATGTGGGAAGGCCTTTGCTGGAGCCTCAAAACTTACTGTACATAGGAGAATTCACACTGGAGAGAAACCGTATATATGTAAGGAATGTGGAAAGGCCTTTGCTACAGCCTCAAGCCTTAATGTACATAGGATAATTCACGCTGGAGAGAAACCGTATATATGTAATGAATGTGGAAAGGCCTTTGCTTTGGCCTCAAGACTTAGTGAACATTGGAAAATTCACACTGGAAAGAGACCCTATGTTTGTAAGGAATGTGGAAAGGCCTTTATTTTGGCCTCAAAACTTAGTGTACATAGGAGAATTCACACTGGAGAGAAACCGTATATATGTAAGGAATGTGGGAAGTCCTTTGCTGAATCCTCAAAGCTTAGTGTACATAGGAGAATTCACACTGGAGAGAAACCGTATATATGTAAGGAATGTGGGAAGTCCTTTGCTGAATCCTCAAAGCTTAGTGTACATAGGAGAATTCACACTGGAGAGAAACCGTATATATGTAAGGAATGTGGGAAGGCCTTTGCTGGAGCCTCAAAACTTACTGTACATAGGAGAATTCACACTGGAGAGAAACCGTATATATGTAAGGAATGTGGGAAGGCCTTTGCTGGAGCCTCAAAACTTACTGTACATAGGAGAATTCACACTGGAGAGAAACCGTATATATGTAAGGAATGTGGAAAGGCCTTTGCTACAGCCTCAAGCCTTAATGTACATAGGATAATTCACGCTGGAGAGAAACCGTATATATGTAATGAATGTGGAAAGGCCTTTGCTTTGGCCTCAAGACTTAGTGAACATTGGAAAATTCACACTGGAGAGAGACCCTATGTTTGTAAGGAATGTGGAAAGGCCTTTATTTTGGCCTCAAAACTTAGTGTACATAGGAGAATTTACACTGGAGAGAAACAGTATATATGTAAGGAATGTGGGAAGGCCTTTGCTGAATCCTCAAAGCTTAGTGTACATAGGAGAATTCACACTGGAGAGAAACCGTGTATATGTAAGGAATGTGGGAAGTCCTTTGCTGAAGCCTCAAGCCTTCGTGTACATAGAATTCACACTGGAGAGAAACCCTATATATGTAAGGAATGTGGGAAGGCCTTTGCTCAATCCTCAAGCCTTACTATACATAGGAGAATTCACACTGGAGTGAAACCGTATATATGTAAGGAATGTGGAAAGGCCTTTGCTGGAGCCTCAAGACTTAGTGTTCATAGGAGAATTCACACTGGAGATAAACCATAATATATGTAAGGAATGTGGAAAGTCCTTTGCTGAAGCCTCAAACCTTTGTTTACCTAGGAGAATCCACACTGGAGAGAAACCATATATATGTAAGGAATGCGGAAAGGCCTTTACTTCATCCTCGCAATTGACTATACATAGGAGAATTCACAGTGGAGAGAAACCGTATATATGTAAGGAATGTGGGAAATACTTTGCTGAAGCCTGCTGATTTTCACCCGGGCTGCACCTATGCCAGTATTCTTGTGCTTGGAATTGCTTGTGTGTTAACTTGTAAATAATGGGTCATGGTGATGAAAATAAGGAGGAAGGTGACTGAATGTTTATTCAGATACAGAAACACCCTCCTGCTCAGAACTCTCATGGCTCACTACTCTGTTATTGTTTGCTATGCTTCTGGCTTGGCCCAGTGGGGCTGGTTAGCGGGAATTATGGCAGAAGTCAACCAAGATGCAGCATTGAATACTTTGAAAATGGAAAAATAGGTAATCCTTCATTCTTCAGTGTTTCCTGTGTTAGGATTTGGGATGCTTGAGCACCCTGGTTTGGCAACTTGAGTGCCAGGTCAAGCCAGCTTTTTTATTACTTGTTCTGGATATCCAGGCTTTAGTGGATGTGGAGCTTTTGAGGGGTGCATTGGGTGCTGTTCTGTCGCTCAGGTGTCATGGGTGGGGTGCGTTATCCTGAGGGCCCCTGCAGCCACCTTCGATCCAGGTCCAAGACGGCACTGGAGGTTGGACACATGGACTTCAGGCCTTGGTGTGAGGAGCCTGCAAAGAGTGGAGGTCTTGGTCATCTCGTTCCTCCCTACTGGAGACTGTGAAGGACCCTGTTTGGAGCCTTTGGACTGGACCTAACACTTATCGAAACTCCAGATATGTTCACAGGCAGCCCCCAAAGGAAAGGGACACTTTTGCCGTCAGTCATTTTCATTGGCTTCAGTGCTGGGTTTGGCACTTTGGGGTGTGTTTAGACAAGTGAGAGGTATATGCCTTGAAAATTTACTCTTTGGATTATAATTTTTTTTTTGGCTTTTTGTGTCACATTCAGCGTTTCACATGGGTTTCTCCTGACTTATGCACTCAGGAATTACTCCTGGTAAAGCTCAGGGGACCATATTGTTTCTGGGATTCGAACCCGGGTTGGTCACGTGCAAGTCAAACCTCTTACCCGCTCTGCTATCACTTCAGCCCCTCTTTGGATTAATTTTAATAGCTGCTTTTATTCAGGGGAGTTGGAAGGGATTCTTTGATGCACAAGGTTTACTTCTGGTTGTGCATCTCAAGAATTATTCTGTGGTGCTGCTGGGTACCTATAGGATGGGGAGGCTAGCATCCTAGTCGCTTCACAGTGATTCCAACCCCACTATTGGTGTTTTTTTCCCCATATATAGAATTTCTACAACCCGGGATTATGGTACCGCCAGCAGGTCAATCTGTGCCTGTAAGGCGACTGCATCAGCAGCCTGATGGCACCATCAGACTTCCAGATACTCCAAAATTGATGTTGTGCCTTTGGCCAGACTCCAAAAACTTTGGGCAAAGTCTTCCAAGAAAGTAAACAGCCAAAGTTAGGTATGTGCAAGACACACCAACAAACCATTTCCTGCTCAGCTATATAATTGGAGGCAAGGTCTCTCTGGTTCCTGATCAAACCTCTTAAAGGCTATGATCCCAGAGACTCAGAGATAAATCTCGGAACCCAGCGGCTTTTCGCAGAGATGTGTCCTATACCCGCAATGAGCTACCGGCGACAGACCACCACAAGGGGGAAAGGGTGTGTGTCTCCGCCTGATCCCACTTGGTGGCTCGGTGGCCAACATCTTCCAGAGGCCATTGGAGAGACAGGTTTGGGCCTGCAGTGACAAGACATGCAAGGCCTCATGGGATTGGGCTGGACTCTGCACTTTCCTCCCCACCTCAATGAGACCCCGAGTCGCTGCCCATGTATGAACTCTCTGGCTCTTGATCACTCTGTTTAATGGCCATGATCCCAGGGTCTCAGAAACTAATTTCGGAACCCAGTGGCTTTCAGAAGAAATGTGTTCCGTCCCCACTGTAGGTTACCTAAGCTGGGTATTTCAGGTGGGAATAGGTTTTGTGCCTGGCGGTTCAGTGGCCGCCATCTCTTAGGGCTTCTGGACGGTTAGGTTTGGGACTGCAGTGAGGAGACATGCAGGGCCTAATGGGATGGTGGTGGAGCCGGCCCTTTTCCCCCTGCCCCAACGAAACCCCGAGTTGTCTGGCGCCTACGATTGACCTCTATGGCTCGTGATCAAGGTGAGTAATGGCCATGATCCCAGAGATTCAGAGACAAATCTCAAAACCCAGTGCCTTTTAGCAGAAAAGCATCTGGACCCTGTAGTAGGTTACTGTCCCAGGTCCACCCCAGGGGGAATTGGTGCTGTCCCCCAACTGCTCCTCCTTGGCGGCTTCGTGGCCTCCATCCACCAAAGGCCTTTGGAACGTCAGGTTTGGGCCCACACTCACGAAGATACGTAGGGCCTTGCAGGATGAGTGTGGAGCTGGCCATTTCCTCCCCACCCCAACAAGAGCCTAAGTCATTCCCACGAACCGCCTCTCTGGCTCGTGATTAAGCTGTTTAATCGCCATAATCCCAGAGACTCAGGAACAAATCTCGGAACCCAGCAGGTTTTTGCAGATATTCCTCCAGATTTAGTTGTTAAAATTTCAGAATCCCAAAATTATATGTTATTTATAACCAGCAATTGAAAAAGAATTGTCTACTGTTGCGTTTTCACCAGATCTAAGTGCCGGAGTAAAATCCCAAATAATAATGATGGGTCTTGTGTCAAAATATTGAATGTAATCAAAGTAGAGAGAAGAATTGGAAATTATCTGCCCCACAGGTAGAGGAAGGCTATGGAATGGAATTATACTTGGGTTTTTAGTGATGGAAAATGGGCATGGTGAAGGGGGACGGGTGTTTCATTGTATGACTGAGACTTAAACCTGAAAGTTTTCTAAGTGCTCTCCCATTTTCCCCCGTTTTCTCCCATTTATTTAGAAATGGCCAGAGTAATTGTAGAGCAAGTAGGATGCTTACCTTGCATGTGGCCAACCCAGGAGTCCTTCAGTCCACAACATTTTTCATTGCTCATTGGACATTGAGCGTCCCCTTCTCATTCCTAGAACATGTAATGTGGGGGTGTGGCATGGGGTAGGGTGTCTTCTCCACGGAGCTGTTCATTACGGAGAGATCCAGTGCTTTGCTTTCTTGACTTTGTTGTGATTCTTCCCTATCTCTCAGGTATGTCAAGTAGTCCATGTGTTTCAAGGCTCTTGTTTTCCCAGTTGTATAACTGGCCAGACTGTACAACTAAAGGGTCGGGTACCCTTTCTGGACCCTGCTCAGTCAATCTGACACCATGCATATATTTGCCTTTGAGTCATTGTCATGGGTTTTTGAAAATGGGAAGAAATTGAGTTTTCTTTTGTTATGGGGCCTGGTGATGCTCAGCAGTTATTTCTGGTGGTTCTCGTAAGTTGCTTTAGCAGTGTGTAAGGATCAAACCCTGTCAGCCTCATGCTAGGCAAATGCCTACCTACTGTACGCTTGTACGCACCAAAAAATGTTTTATTGTGTGTATGTTAAATTGTGACTGTGAGCCCATTGTGAAGTTAATTAGGACCAGAACAGCAGTGCATCACGGAGGGTGCTTGCCTTACAGATGCCGCCTACCTTCGATGTCCAGCACCCCCTATGGTATCCCAAGCATCACTGGGTAAGATTAAAAACAAAACCCAAAAGGATTTTTGGGGGGATTGCCGAGCTCCTCCCAGCAACACTTCCCGCAGATTTTCCTTTTCTGTAGGCTTGCTTGGACTGTGAGAACTATGGAGATGCCCTCCACCTGTTTGGTCATTCAGCTGCATTCCATTCAACATTGGACTAATTTTCATTGTGCATTTTGTTTGATTTCAGAACTCAAATCACCGGTTTAGGATATGACATTACAGCAATTTCTTTAGGGAACAGGGGTATTGCATACAAGTGTGCTGTAAGATTCTCTTGTTGAAACTATTATGCCATTGGAGTGCTCAGTGGACCGAGCATGCGACTTGAAAGGTGGGGTCCGGCTCCATCCCCACAAGCACATCTATGGTCTCAGCATCACAGGAAAAATATCGGAGTCTAATGCTGAGACTAGAGGGTCTTTAACCTCAGTGGGTGCTGAAATCTGGAAATTTATTTTATTGTATTGTTTTTTAAAGTCTTCATTAAAATGCCAGTATTTTCAATGTTATTGATAGTTGTGTTTAGGCGTACAATCATTGAACACCAATTCCTGCATCAGCTTCCCTCCACCCGTGTTCCCGTATTCCCTCCCCACCCAGGTGCCCACTCTGCCCCCACCTGTCATCTGGAGAAGCACTTGACTAGGTTTCAGTGGTTACAGCTTAGATCTCTTGTTTTCAGTTCTCTTGCATCTGTGTTTTGGGTAAATGGCTACACCCCTCACTCAAGTCACTGGCATGAATGGATCCCTGATCCCTGTAAACTTCTGGGTCTCTTCCGCCCCAAATTTCTTTCCTTCTTTGTCCGGCTTCTCTCTAAACACTGGAATCAGGGGTGATTTAAGCAGCCCCTTTACATTACATTTCCACATCCAGTGTTCGGTACTCCACAGATGAGTGAACAGCATCCTGTTTTTGTTTCTTTTTCTGGCTAACTTCACT